GTCTATGCCTCCAATGCATTTGGCTATTTAAAACAATTGCGAAAAGATCAAAAGGGAGACAGACACTTCAATACAATAATAATGAGGGATTTCAGCACCTCAGTTTTATCAATGGACAGCTTAACTAGGAAGGAAATCAGCAAAGAAACAGAGCTAATCTACACTATGGAACAATGGATATAATTGATATCTACAACACATTTCATTCCTCACTTGCATAATACATAATCCTCATTAGAACATAGGACTCCTTCTAGAAGAGACCATATGCTAGGCCTTGAAACCAAGCCTCAACAAACAAACAAAAAACTGAAATCATATCATGCATCTTTTCTTGCCATGCAATGAAGTGAGAAATCAATTCCAGAAAATATGCAAAAAACATGCAGACTGAATAATATGCTACTGAATGAACAGTAGCTCATAGAAGAATCAAAAGAAATAAACCTCTGGAAATGAATGAGGATGATAGTATAGCATAGTAAAACTAACAGGACATAGCAAAAGCAATGTTAAGAGGAAAATCATAGATCTGGAATCAGAGAAGGATGCCCACTCATACCACTGTCATTCAACATAGTCCTGTGGTTTCCTCAGTACCATTAGGCAAAAGAAAAAAAAAATCACAGGGGATACGAATTGGCAAGGAGAAAAACAAGCGATCCCTATTTGCAGATGACATATTCTCTATGTTGGGGAACTGACATAGAGAGACTACTGGAACTCGTAAGAGTCTGGTCAAGTTGCAAGCTGTAAAATCAACACATAAAAATCGATAGCTTTTGTATATACAAACTACTGTTGAGAAAGAAATTGTAACATAATTTCCATTCATAATAGCTGCAAAAATTTTAATATTTTGGAATTAATGAAGGATGTGAGGGATTCATATGTTCAAAAATTACAAAACATTAAAGAAATGGAAGACACTAAAAACTGAAAAAAAATCTTTCGTTTTTGTGACTGGTAGAGTATCATCAGAATCTCCAAAGTACTGAAAGCAGTTCACAGATTCTATGTAGTCTCAATGAAAGTACTGACAGCATTCTTATCATAGCTAGGGAAAAAATAAATGAAGCTCAAATTTTACAGAAACACAAAAATCCTGAATAGTTAAAGCAATCTTAAAAACAAAGCTGAAGACATCACAATACCAGACTTCAAGAAATACTACAGATACATTGTAATCAAAACAGCCTCATAGTGGCAAAAAACAGATATGCAGATCAATGGGAGAGAAAACAAATACCAGAAACTAACCTACAAACCTACAGTCGATTAGTATTTGACAAGCAATCAATCCGTGGAGACAACAGTTTCTTTAACAAATGGACCTATGTGTGAAGTGTGAAACAACCTGAAAAAGCAACTCAAGATATATCAAAGTTCTAAATCTGCGACATGATAGTATCAAATTGCTAGAGGAAATTATTGGGGAAACATCTAGACATAAGTGTAAAACAAAACAAAACTTAGAAAAGACTTCAGAAACACAAGAAATAAGAAATCACAACAAAAATAAGCAAGATTATATCAAGCCAAAGTTTCTGCACTGCAAAGGAAACTGCCAAGAGGCAACCATGGAGCAAAGTGGAGCAAATACAATAGAGCACAAGTATTCGCAAATTATGCAACTGACAGAATATTAATATCCAGGATCTATAAAGTACTCAAGAAAGCTGACAACAACACAAACAATCCAATTAAGAAATGGGCAAGAGTTGGGTCACAACAACCACTGTGGTGGGAAGTACGACTGGTTGGGGAGCTAAGTGTCTGCCCTGGCAGGGCTGTGGGTCCCACTGCTGAGTGCAAGAGCCAGAATGGGGGTGAGGAACTGGGCTGGACATAACTTCAGTGTCGCTCAGCATAGGTGTGGACTGGGTCTGAGGTGTGCCAGACTGGGCTAGACTCCAACACCCACTGATGCTCACGAGAGCCAGGGAAGGTGTATGATGGGCTGGGCTAGCTTTCAGCATCTGCTAAACCATGCAAGAGCTGTGTTTGGGCACAGATCAGGTGTGGCTAGGCTGTAGCATCCAACAGTAAGAAACAGAATGGGTGTGGGCTGGTTGGGCAAGGCTGTTGTTCCTGCCAGGACAGGAGGTGGACTAAGTCAACCCAGACCAAGGACCCACCAGTGTGTACCAGATCTACCACTGGAAGGGGACCTGATAGAGGAGCTTGAGGAACTCCTTGGTCAAGACATATTCCCTTCAGGCGAGTGCAAGAACCAAGGCTGGCAGCAGCCCAGACCAGGCCAGATTATGGTACCTGCTAGCAAATGCGGTCAGGTCTGGGAGCAGGCCTGACTAGGCCAGTTCATAACACCCACTGGCAGATCCAAGATCCAAGAAAGGGTACAACACAGGACAGGCCACAACACCAGCCAGTTCATATTTAGGGCCAGGACTGGGGGGTGGCTGGGCTAGACAAGGCTGGGCTGTAGCACTCAACAGCATGAGCTGGAACTAGGGGTAGATAGGGCTGGGCCAGGTTACAGCACCCACCAGCAAATGCCAAGGTGAGGCAGACCATGTCAGATTGGGCTATAACACCCACCAGCACATGTGAGTCCAGGGTAGGGGAGTTGGGGGATGGGGATGCAAGCCAGGTAGGGGAATTGCAGGGGACCACTCTGCTGGGCCATTGCCCCCACTAGTGAGTGTGAAAAGTGGGATAGGAGGCAGACTAGGCTAGGCAGGGCTAGAGCAACTATTGACCTGCATGTGAACTGGGTTGGGGGAGGCCAGGATGGGCTAACTGATGGTATCTACTGGTACATGCATGAGCCTGAGTTAAGTGCAGGATGTTTGGGCTTTGCTGAGGCATTGGCTGGAAAGTGCTGGGACTGAGGGCAAATCCTGTCAAGCTAGACTGCAGAACCACCTAGAAAGTGCAAGATCTATGACTGGGAGTGGACACCTCTCTGATGGGCTACAATTCCCACTGGTGAAGATGACAATCAGGGCCGGAGGCAGACCTGACCAGACAAACAGTGGCACCCTTCAGCATAAGTATGAGCTGCAAAGCGGGGTCAGTTGGGTTGAGATAGACTTCAATACCCACTAATGTGTATGAGACCTGAATGGAATATGGGAAAGACTGCACCAAACTGCTGTCCATACAGGCAAGCACAGGAATCAGGGTTAGGAGTGGGCTTAGAAGGGACTATTGGGGGTCGCTCTGACTAGGCTACAGTTCCTACTGCTGTACGTGAGGTCCAAGTATGTGGTGGGCAGGGTTGGGCTGGGCCACAGCATCCACTGATTTATATGAGAGAGAGACTGGAGACAGAATTGATCCAGCAATTGCAATCACCAGTGTATGCAAAGGCTGAAGTGGATGATGGACAGAGCAGGACCCCATATTGGCAAGCACACACAAAAGTCAGGTCTGAGATCACCTCAGAAGTTTCTTTGGAGATCTCCCCACAGGAACAGCTCCAACCACGGGAATAATGGCAGGAATTGTGTTCTGACTGTGGGGTGCATGTGTCAGAACTGGGCCTCCTCAGTGGCTTAAACGAAGTAGTGGATGACATACCCAGACGCATATGAAGATATGAAAGTTCTTTGGGGCTTATAGAGGACTTATCTGGTACTATAGCAGAGTCTGGAGGGCAGAACAAACTGGTCAACTAGCCCAGCAAATATCTGGGAGCATGGAGACTCTAGGGTGGACTATGTCAACCAATGGACCCTGACAGGATTTCCTCACCCTCAGTTGGTGAGATTGACAGCATTTTAGAACTACTGAAACTACTTGAGCAGAACCCTTGGAGCATGCCCCACATCAGGGACCCTGGGATGACACTGGGTGGCTGTCCCCCATTATCAGGTACTGAGGTGGTTGGGAGACTGAGTACCGGTTCTCCGCTTACATCCCCTCCTCCTCTGGATACAAGAAAAAGAAAACTTGTAAACAACGGTCTTACCCATTTTACCCTAACCCTCGATCCTTCCCACCCTCTTCAACTATGTAAGCCTCATCAAAATAAACTTTTTAAAAATGGGCAAAAAGACATGAAGAAGCAATTCACAAAGGATAAAACACAAATGGCCAACAGACATATGAAAAATGTTCCAGATCACTAGTTATTAGGGAAATTCAAATTGAAAACCACAATGAAGGTTCTTTTCACATCACCCAAGTTTAGAATGGCTATTATCTGAAAATCAAAAAAAGCAACAAATTATGGTAAGGATGTGAGAAAGGCACCCTTTTTCAATGTTTTAATTTTTGTTATTGTTTTCTATGATAGTTTAAGTGTAGAGATTCTTCCACCTCATTCTACTTTCCCCATTTTCCTCTGCTCGCCATTTTACTCCATATTATCTAGTATTGTCCTTTAGCAAGTGATAAGTTTAACATTCTAATATTTAAGTGCAAGAAGCCAGACTCAAAAGGACAGATATCACATTTCTTTGATATATAAGGCAACCTTCATATAAAATATTTGTAGGGTTTGATTAGAAAATTTTCCAGAATTTTCATTCAGCCATGTTACATAAAATTATCAGTATCATTTCCTCTCTGCTTGTCCCTACTCTTTTCAAAAAGGCAAGTAGAGCCCGGCACGATGGCACAGTGGTTAAGGTCCTCGCCTTGGATGCCTGGGATCCCATATAGGCGCCAGTTCTAATCCCGGCAGCCCCACTTCCCTTCCAGCTCCCTGCCTGTGGCCCGGGAAAGCAGTCGAGAACGGCCCAAAGCTTTGGTACCCTGCACCCATGTGGGAGACCCAGAAGAGGCTCCTGGCTTTGGATCAGCATAGCGTCAGCCAATGCGCTCACTTGGGGAGTGAATCATCGGACCGAAGATCTTCCTCTCTGTCTCTCCTCTCTGTATATCTGCCTTTCCAATAAAAATAAAATAAATCTTTTTAAAAAAAGGCAAGTAAAATATACTAGGAACTCTATAAAGTTTCCTTACCATAAAAACTAAGATAAATAGCTAACATTGATTAAACAGTATATTTTACATGCATAATATTCTTACAACTTCACCACCTTATAATGGCTGTTTATATTGTAGACAAGAAAACTATGTTTGAGAAAGCCTACAATTTATACCCAAGATGATAAAATCATTCTGTACAGAAGCAACCATTTGAAGCTCTTAGGCACTTTGTTTCAAGACGAACATTTTTTCCCATACTTTAAGTTCTCTAAATTCAGGATGCATATTAAAGTTTTTGGCACATTATATCAGCTGTTGTAATAATAACAAACGATAATGAGACAACTGTTATATTCCTTTTGTCCACAAAACTAAAGACAATAATTGAGCATTATTTTAACTTCTCTAAGGACCAAACAATCATGACTAGAAGGCATGGATGGGGATATACTTAGCGATATTTTAAAACAAGTATCAAAGCAGCCAATACTGTGGCATAGCAAGTAAAGCTGCCTATTGCAATGCCAGCATCTCATATAGGCACCAGTCAAGTCTCCCCATTTCCAATCCAGCTCCCAGTTAATGACCTGGAAAAAGTAGACGGTCCAAGTGTTTGGGCCCCTGCTACTCCCATGGGAGAACTGGTAGAAGCTCCTGATCTCATCCTGGTCACACTTCAGCCAATGCTGTCATACAGGCAGTGAACCTGTAGATGCAAGCTCTTTCCTTCCTTCTTTCCGTAACTCTGATTTCAAAATAATTTTTTGAAGTCAGTTAACTTGATACATTTTCCCAACTATAGTTATAGATTGTTACCACTGATTGTTTCCCTACCTGTGGTATGACAAAAATGATACACATTCATGACCTGCAGCTCCTCCTCAGTCTATGACAGTGAGAGAACAATTCACAGCATTCTATGCTCTAAGGTTAGAGTAAGGCAGGTTAGATTTACTCAAAAGCATTTTCAGGGCCCGGCACAATGGTCTAGTGGCTAAAACCTCACATTGCACCAGGATTTCATATGGATACCAGTTTGTGTCCCAGCTACACCACTTCCCTTCCAGCCCCCTGCTGGAAACGCAGTAGCGGATGGCCCAAAGCCTTGACCATGCATCCATGTTGGAGACCTGAAGAAGCTCCTGGCTTTGGATCAGCCCAGCTCTGGCCATTGTAGCCACTTGGGTAGTGAATCAGCAGATGGAAGATCTTTCTCTTTGTATCCTCATATCTCTGCAAATTTGCCTTTCATTAAAAATGAATAAATTTTTATTAAATCTTTTATTAAAAATTTTTTAAAGTTTTAAAGATTTCATTTTATTGGGAAGTCAGGCATACACAGAGGAAGATCTTCTGTCTCCTGATTCCTTCCCCAAGTGGCAGCAACAGCCGAGGCTAAGCCAATCTGAAACCAGGAGCTTCTTCTAAGTCTCCCACATGGGTGCAGGGTCCTAAGGCCTTGGGACGTCATCCTCCACGTTCCCAGGCCACAAGCAGGGAGCTGAATGGGAAACAGGACTGCCAGGACATGACCTGGTGTCCATATGGGCTCCCAATGCGTGCAATGCAAGAACTTTAGCAATGAGGGTGCCGTGTTGGACCTAAAAATGAATAAATCTTTAAAAAATAAAAGATAAAGCATTTTTAAATTGTGGTATTTTCACTTGGTAAAAGTGAAAGATATAGCCCTGTTATAAGCACCTGTAATTGAAAAGGTGGCTTAAGAACGCAACATTAAAAGTTTCAGAATCCTTTTGGAAATCCTGTATGGTGAGGTGAGGGAGAGGGACAAATCATCAATGACTGAGTTCAAAGCTATTTTGTTTTAGAGCCAATAAGGCTTAAAAAAACTTGGAAAGAAATTGCACTCCGAATGCAAAGAACATTAATATTTCCTTAAACAATTAATTGCATATGTATTTTCATTTTGAGGTTTGTACCAGAATTATCTGTCCTTTCCTTCTGTCTGTAAATGTCTTTCAATAAAGATAAATCTTTAAAATTTCTAAATGGTAAAAGGCTTTCATAATGCTTTTAAGTAGTATATAAAATAATGATGCAAATTTACTGAATAACCCATATCATATCACTAGTATTTTCCTAATTTTTTTTAGATTCACAAAGTATAATATTTCTCCGCTGACTTTCAAGTTTACTCAGTTTGAGGACTATAACTGAGAATATTTTAGGCATGTAAGTTACTTTCTTATCGCTTTTTGGCCTTTTAGCTAAGATCAAGTGTAAATCACTTTCCTAAATCATAATATTAGTATTTTAACAGTTTCATTTATTATTTCTCATTATTCAGAATTTTGATGTTTCTATATTTTCTTGATCGCAAAATACATTTCAAACAGAAAATAACAATCCAAAGTTATACGGACAGAACTGTATATATCAACTAGAACACTAAAAATTAGTAAATTATCCATTGTTGTGATCTTCCAAATATTGTCATTCTCAAGCTAAGTCATCTATTAATTTAACATTCCTATTTCATTCTTTTACTAAATGGTTTATAGAAGGTCAGAAGAAGAAAAAATTAACTTTTTTAAGCAGACATTAAAAAAATCACATTTGAACCAGAAAGCAAACAGAAACAGGAAATTCTTCATTAAAAGAAAGACTAATATACTTTTAAAAATAAAGGATTAGAAATTTATCAAGAGGAAAGAAAGTACTTGCAATCCTGTTCAAATATTTGCTCCTGCCCTTCCATAATGAATGTTTTCCTTTGTAGGTCTGGACAAACCCCTTCCCATGTCAGTATCTCTACCCAGAGTTGACAGAACAAAGATTTATTTTCAGGCATGAACCACAATGGAATATGCTGCCGACTTCTGAAAGTATTTCTGAAATGATTTTCTCAGGCATGTGTTAATTAGCATATCTGTCATGTCACAAATGCTTTAAAGTTTCTCAACTTTTATTGCACATTAAATAAGGATTTCAATTTATATGGATTTGACTATTGCCACAGAAATATACATACATAACCACATATACAGCATGTATTTAGAAAATTAACTACTAATTATTGGATTAAATCTGTTTCAAACAATTCAATAATCCAAATTATTGATGTCAAGCAGTAAATTTCACATGCTTGAAATTTATTGGAAAGCAGACATTCCTGTCCTCATTGTCTTCCAATTTTTTTTAAAGATTAGTTTATTTTTTATTGGAAAGGCAAATTTATACAGAGGAGAGGCATAGAGATCTTCCATCCAGTGGTTCATTCCTCAAGTGGCTGCAACAGCCAGAATTGAGCTGAGCTGATTCGGAGGAGCCAGGAGCTTCCTCCGGTCTCTGGGTCTCTTATGCGGGTGTAGGGTCCAAAGGCTTTGGGTCATGCTCTGCTGCTTTCCCAGGCCACAGGCAGGGAGCTGGAAGGAAAGTGAAGCAGCTGGGACAGAAACCAGCTCTTGTATGGGATCCTAGCACATGCAAAGTAGCTAGGCTATTGTGCTCCTGCTCAGAGGCCCTCTGTCTCTTAAAAAAAGATAACAAAGCTCCTGCTTTGAAAGGTAAAAAATGTGCTGTTCTTTAAAGCAAACAAAGAAACTTACCAGGGCCAAAACTGTGTACCAGTGTGTAAAGCTGTGATGCTTGATTTCCATATGTGCCCCAGCTTGTGTCCCGACTGCTCCACTCTAAATCCAGCTCGCTTGTGTCCTGGCTGCTCCACTCTAAATCCAGCTCCCTGATAATGTGCCTGGGAAGCAGCCAAAGGCTGTCCACGTTCTTGAGACCCTGCCACCATAGGTGACCTGGATGAAGCTCCCAGCTCCGGATTGGTCTCATCTTCATTGTTATAGCCGTTTGCAGGGTGAAACAGTGTATATTAAGATCTCCTTCTCTTCCTTTCCGCTCTCCCTGAAACACTGCTTTTCAAATAAAATTAATCTCTTTTTTAAAAGTAGATAACTGATTTCTGTCCATGACAGAAACTCTTTTAAAACTTACTTTGATAATATTCTGGAGTAAAATGAGTGTACTTAAAGAAAACACAAAACATGTCATACCAAAATAAACTTTCAATTAAAAAAAAACCACAGTTCTCAATAATGATGTCAGGAATTAGAATCTACAATTTTATCTATAACTATAGCTGTCCCTCACCTATATTTAACCTGCATCTGCCTAAAAAGAATTGCATTCAACTGCACCAGGGGTTCCTTGGACCCAATCTTTTTATAATTCATTTATATTTTACAAAAGAATGAAATAAACATACAAAATATACTTTGAATTTATGATTAAATTCAATAGTCATAAACTATTTTGCAAAGTTGCTATAAAAATTTCCAAATGCTCTCAAATTTTTCTATCTCATCACAAACAAGTAAAGATTAGTAAACTGGAGACCAGTGTGATAGCTTAGAGAACTTCATTTGTGATACTGGCATTCCATATGTGTGCCAGTTCAAGTCCCTGCTCCTCCACCCCTCATCCAGCTCCCTGTTAATGGCTTGGGAAGGCAGTAGAAGATGGCCCCGGGGCCTTGAGTCCTTGTACTCACATGAGAGACCTGGAATAATCTCCTGGGTTCAGCTACGAATCGGCGCAGCTCTAGCCATTGTGGCTATCTGGGTAGTGAACCAAAAGTTGGAAGAGCTCTGTCTCTCCTCTCTGAAATTCTTTCAGTAAAAATTTAAAAATACAATAAAAAATTTTAAATTTGTAAAATATCACAAGTCCACTTACTCTATCGTGAGTAGCACTGTTCAAAATAAAGACTAGAAAGGAACATAACAACTCTTTAACTCCTTCATGCAAATAAATGAAACTTAAAATATTTTTTAAAGGAATGGGAATGTTGTGGCATAACAGGTAAAGCTGCTGCCGACAACAATGGCATCCCATTATAGGCATGGGTTCCTGTCCTGGCTCCCTGACTACTAATGCTGGGAAACAATGGCCAGAGAAAAGCAGCGGAGGCTGGTCTAAGTGTTTGGGCTAATGCCATACACAAAGGGGACCTGGATGAAGCTTCTGGCTTCAGCCTTGCTCAGTCCTGGCTGTTGCAATCACTTGGGGAATGAACTAGTGAATGGAAGACTTTCTCTCCCCCTCTCCGTAACTCTACAACTCTGACTTTTAAATAAATATTTTTTAAAAATTTAGAATAGAACAAATAATATCAACTAGAAATTTGTGTTTAATGCTTAAGTGCTAAAAGCTCCTGAATGGGATGTGGGACAGATTGGACCAGTCTGCCGTACATACTGGCAAGCACGGGAACCAGGGCAGGGGACATGCCTGGTGGGGGTTATTATGGGTTGCTCCAACTAGGCTGCAGCTCCCACTAGTGTACATGAGGGCCGAGTATGCGGTGGGCAGGATTGAGCTGGGCTGCAACACTCATTAGTTTGTGCAGAAGATAGGGCTGGAGACAGAACTGACCCAGCAATTGCAACCACCAGCATGTGAGTAAGCTATTAGGAGCAATGGATATGCTGGACCCTGAACTGGCAAGCACGCACAAGAATCAGGTCTGGGATTGCCTCAGATGAGGTTTCTCTGGGGATTCTGAACCACTGAACTCAGAATCTCAACCATGGAGAGAACTGCAGGTTCCATGGTCTGACTGTGGAGTGCATGTGTCAGAGCTGGGTCTCCTCAGTGGCTTAGATGGAGCAGCATATCCATGTGTACATGGAGGATACGGCAGTACATTGGAGTCTGCGGAGAACACCTGATACTACAACGGAAGACAGAGGACAGAACAAATAGATCAACTACCCTGGCCAAGTGTTGGCAATGAATATCTGGTCTAATTGAGACTCTAAGGTGGACTATGTCAATCAGTGGATTCTGGAGAGATTTCATCATGCTTGGAATGTGAGAGTGGCAGTAATTCAAGACAGCTGAACTATTAAAAATTCTTGAGCAGGACCCTTGAAGTGTGCCTCACAGTGGGGACCATGGGCTGGTGCCCTCCATCCCAGGGTACAGAGGCATTTGGGAGGCTGGGTGTGGCTTCTCCCTTTATCTCCCCTCCTTCCCCCTAACACAGGAAGGAAAAATGAGAATGTTGAAATAATGGTCTGACCCACCTTCCTGTGGCCCTTGACCCTAATTACCATTAACTAAGAAAAAGCACAAAATATATTTATGTCACACTATAAATTTGTTTATTGTGACCCACAGCAAGACACATTTTATATCACAATTCAGAATGTAATTACATATTTCATGAAAAAGTAAATATCCTTTAAACACTTCCTATTTTATTCATTTTTTAAAAATACATACTCCTGCCTCCTAAATTGATTCCATGTTTTGAAAACACTGCATTAAAGAAGCTAGCAATATGTACAAAATAACACCTATAAGGTTTGTTCACTGTAATATTGCTGGAAATAGAAAAAGCGGAAATAAATGTCCATTAATAGCTAACTAAAATGTAATGCACAATACAGTATTATGGAGCAGTTAACGACCTAACTTAGATCTAATTTTATATATATATATATATATATGTATATAAAAAGTAGGGTTAAAAAGTATTTCCAGAATGATACCTTTAGATTTCCAGGAACACCGTACATTGTTTATGAACTATGAACACAGTCTAGATGTTTGTATTTGAAAACAGTAGGGTTACAGATACTCACAGGTAAAGATTGGTTACAAGAGGACTTTGGCTATAGTATAGCTCTAATTCTTAAATTACAATGTTACCTGAAAATATCTGAATGGGTTACAGCAAATGTTGAGATGTGAATTGATAAGGAGGGATCAGAAATGAAAACGAACAATGTATGTATCAACAGGGTCAGACTTTCATAACGACATGCTCAAATCAAGGAGAGAGAATACAAAGCTGGGGGCGGAGGGAGACCTCTAAATCACAAGGCCTAGGGAGGATTAGTGAGGTATGTAGCAACAGCTGGGGGAAAGCATGAAATGGGCTGAAAGGCCGGGAAGACAAGGCCTACATCTGGTCAACTGATCCATGCCTCACTGGTGGTTCAACTGTATAAATAAAAGAGTGGCCGCTTAGTGGGAAAGTACTTAGCAACTCTGTTTACACAGACAACAAAGTGCCACTAGAGTGGCAAATTGAACTGTGCAAGGCCAATTAACCCTTTCACCTTAGTGTTTTATATTTGCTATCTTACTTACTGCGGCTGTTAGATCTACACTGATACGTGTTAGAACCAAATGCAATTATAAATCATTGGTACATGTATTGATGCATTCTGCAAATTCCATGCAGCACATTTATTTTATTCAGTGTTCTGAATACCTTGGCTGCTTTCATCTGGCTTTAATAAAGAAATACTTTCAAAGGAAGAGAGGTTACCCAGAAACTCTAACTACATATGTCCTTTATTAAACTATAAATTGATTACTACTCAAGTTTTCTGGCCTAAGGTTTTTAAAAAGTTAGATACTTTGTGCAGTTCCTCCATATTAACAGCAAATTAGAAAAAGAATAACATTTTACATGGATAAATATGTCCCAGGAAAAGCCAAGCATGCATCAAAGAGAACAGTAAACCAGTCAGTTGCTAGTTGTAACTATGACTAGCTGCTTTATATCTTAAATTGATATACAGAAACATTTAGATAATTATATTCATCTTCCTGACTCTGAAATACTTCCACAGTCTTCTTTTTTTTTTTTTTATTGGAAAGGCGGCTATACAGAGAGGAGAGACAGAGAGGAAGATCTTCCGTCCAATGATTCACTCCCCAAGTGAGCGCAACGGCCAATGCTATGCCGATCCGAAGCCAGGAGCCTCTTCCAGGTCTCCCACGCAGGTGCAGGGTCCCAAAGCTTTGGGCCGTCCTCGACTGCTTTCCCAGGCCACAGGCAGGGAGCTGGAAGGGAAGCGGGGCCGCTGGGATAGAACCGGCGCCCATATGGGATCCCGGGTGTGCAAGGCGAGGACCTTAACCACTTGCACCACTGCGCCGGGTCCCACAGTCTTCTTGATAGCACCTGAATTGGAGAGCAAGCAGTACTGTCTATATAATCTCTAAAGCCAAGGAAAGTGTCTTGAACCGATTATGCATGCAAATAATGTTGGCATATATGAAAAGCCTTGCTTCTGTGAAAGACAGTAATTATCATTGTTCAATGGCAAATTAACTAATTCATATTTATTCATTAATACCAACACTGTCTTCAGTGTGACTTAATTTCTCAAAGTACCACCATCATTCCACTATCAGCTACAATTCCATGTCAAATTTTCTCCTGGCCATGTTATTTGCCACTGAGACTTGATAGTGATAATTTTATAAGGATGGATTAATTAGTTTAAAAGGTAGAAATGAAAGAGAAAGATTCTGTTTGCGAGTTCAATCTTCAAATGCCCAAAACAGCTGCCCAAAGCCAGAAGCCAGGAACACAATCTTGGTCTTCCCTATAGGTGGCAGGTCTCCAATTACTTGGGCCATCTTCCTTTGTCTTCCCAGGTGCATGACTAGGGAGCTGAAAGGGAGTAACCTGTAGTCTAACCAGTAGTAATCAACATGAGTGCCAGCATCACCAATGGTGACTTAACCTGTAGTCTTACAAGGCCGGCCTCAATAGCAATGACTTTTAGAATTCTAGTCAAACAGCGGGAAAAGGGCAAAAGATTATTTTGAAAGAAGCATATCAACAGAACATATGCTGTTTTTCTTAAGCTTCCTCTCCCTCAAATTGACAGTAACATGAAATAGTTCATACACACATTTGATTAAAGATGTCCTCAGTTTTGGCTTTTCTCAGATCCCAGTAACATTAAGGGGAAAAAAAGGAAAAAGCTAGGGAAACTTCCTCCCTCTCTAAACAGGTTATGTTTACTGACTACAATCATGTTCAAATGAAAGAATGGACAAGCATAGCAGCTTTTAACCTTCTCTGTCTTCTCCTGAATACAGGCCACCCACGAGGTTCCTCTATCTCTCTTTTGACACAACCAACAGCAGAACCACTGGAAAAGCAACCAATCGAAACAAGCAGTATCAGTAAAGGGGCAGTGGGTCAATGGTAAATAAAAAAAGAGAATGTGCTTCCAGGAACGAGCCAGAGCATACTGATGCTTCTTCACAGGTAAGCAGAGAAAATGCCGAGAGCCTTGTTGCTGGCTTCCCTTTCTCTGGAAGCATTTTCACAAACGCAAAAGCAGAATCTTGGTAGTTAGGACATAAGTACCAGACAAAGCTCATGGTTTCATCTTAGGAATTATTGAAAGAGAAAACAAACTTAAAGAAAAACAAAATGATAAACTAAAAGCTGCAGTCTAGATTCTAATTGATTCATAAAACTGTTTCTATAAAGTAACTATTACTAGACTTTTTTTTTACAAATCCATTTCTTGATTTGAAAATATACATACACTAAAATATTAATCAAAATAAAAACGAAAGGATACATCATTTCCACAAATACTGTTAATTAAACCCAAGCAAAGAGTTGAAATATTTATTATTCATTGAATACTCTAATCGCTGGGATCTATTTTGGGCTTAAGCTTAGGATTTTGTAGTGCACAGGGCCAAAATACACATGTTCAGGTGCTACTGGCCAATTACAATTTTTTCCATATTAAACAAAATAAACTTCTAGTATACTATTTAGGAGTCAAGACTCTCATACTTCTAGTGTTACCACACACACATTTGTTACCATCAATTCTGTTAACCTGTACTTCTCCACCTGGACAATAAACATTCATAACTGTTTTTTAAAGATTTAAAAAAAAAACTTTACTTGTAAGGCAGAGCATTGAGAGAGTGAGAGGGCGAGTGTGACAGACTGCCTCACCCATTTATTACCACCACAGTTAGACCTGAGCCTTCCCCGTGGGGGCCAGAATCCACGTCCTTGAGCCAGGACCTGCGGTCTCCCAGTCAGACCAGAAGCAGACTCGGACTGCCCCCCCTCAGTCACTCCGAGTGGATACAAGTGGCCCAAGTGGTAGTTCAACCTGCTATGACACAATACCCACCCTGCAAGTATTCTTTTTGGAAAATTGATTTGCTTGCTTGACACAATGTTTTTGAAAAGTCTACAGAAAAATAAGTTCATGAATTCTTAAAGTGGTGAGATGAAAAATTTATGACTTCTGTACTCTGCAAATCAAACTGAAATTTAGCTATTTAACTGAATTTCTTTTATTCTAAATGAGGGTGTATTTTTTTCTTTTTTTTTTTAATTACGTTGCTTTATGTGACACAGTTTCATAGGCTCTGGGATTCCCCCAACCCCTCCCCGTGCCCTCTCCCCATGGGGGATTCCTCCAACTTTTTGCAGTATTACTACAGTTCACATTCAGTCAAGATTTGTTCTTTGCAAACTTATACCAAGCATAGAGTCCAGCATCTTATTGTCCAGAAAAATTTAACGGTTTCTTGGGGAGACCATCTCTGGTCTGAAGGTAGAGCTGGCAGAATATCATCCCAGTCAATTAAAAGCCACAACACAACATCAACAACAATTTACAACATTATGGAATTGACATGGTATTGAGTAACCAATATATTAAAAAAATTGCAAGTTCTTAACCACATCCTGTGACCACTTCAATGACATTTCAACTTTAGTTTATATACAAAATCGGCTGTTATACACCTTAAAATGGTTATAGGCTACTATTCAGCTGTCTCATGTCTATTTTTGTTTTAGTATTTAGCAGTTTATGGTTTACTCCCCAGATGTCCTTTGGAGCCAGGAACAAGCAAGGTCTAATTCAGGAGCCAGAAACTCAGTCAGGTTTCCCACGTGGGTAGTGGGGAATGAAGTGTCTGAGTCATCCTCTGCTGCCTCCCAGGGGGAGGGGGGACATTAGCAGAAAAATGAAATCAAGAGTGAAGCTGAGATGCCAAAACAAGATGTCACAGTCCCTCTTTCAGTACATTTTTAATTAGGCCCATACTCTCAAAGATGGCAGACAGCTAAGTCATCTTTTTCCCAACTTGCATAAATGTTCCATCACCGACGTTGATTTGTCAGAGAATTGGCTCTGGATCAGCTCAGTTGCAAACACTGCTGCCATTTGGCAAGTGAACTAGCGGAAAAAACGCTCCCCCTCCTTCTCTATGCAAATCTTTCAAATAAAAAACAAATCTTTTTTAAAGATTTATTTTTATTAGAAAGTCAGGTATAGGGCCTGGCAGTGTAGCCTAGTGGCTAAAGTCCTCACCCTGAACGCACCGGGATCCCATATGGGCGCCGGTTCTAATCCCGGCAGCTCCACTTCCCTTCCAGCTCCCTGCTTGTGGCCTGGGAAGGCAGTTGAGGATGGCCCAAAGCCTTGGGCCCATGTGGAAGACCTAGAGGTGGTTCCTGGCTCCTGGCTTCAGACTGGCATAGCACCGGTCGTTGCAGCCATAGGCGGAGTGAATCATCGGACGGAAGATCTTCCTTTCTCTCTTCCCCTATGTATATCTGACTTTCCAACAAAAATAAATATTTTAAAGTAAGATATAGATACACAGAGAGGAGAGACTGAGTGGAAGATTTTTCATCTGCTGATTCACTCCCCAAGCGGCCACAATAGCCAGAGCTGAGTCAATCCAAAACAAGAAGCTGGAGACTCAGGTCTTCCACGCGGGTGCAGGAACCCAAGGCTTTGGGCCGTCCTCTACTGCTTTCCCAGGCCACAAGCAGGAGCTGGATGGGATGCCAGGATTAGAACCAGCATCCATATGGGATCCCGGTGCTTGCAAGGCATGACTTTAGCTGATAGGCTACTGCACTGGGTGCTAAAAATAAATCTTTAAGGAAATTATCATTAAGTACATAAAACAGAAATGTCAATTTTCCAAGGTTGTGGTATCTACTATACATTAGCTTCAAGTATATTTGAACCCTGAAATATGGTACCATTTTACTGTTAATTTACATTTCGAAGCAGATAATTCAGTTCCTGGAAACTTTTATACTTGGGATAATGTGGACACACAAGTCTACTTAGCTCAACCTCTTATAAAATGTCAATAAACTTAACACCAAATTGAGGCAACTAGAAATATTAATGTAAAATAAACATCAGATTTTGTAGACTTAGTTCAAAAACCTTAAAATGTTAAATAATCCAATTAATAACCCCTGAATATAGTTGCATGTTGAGATAACATTATGATACATCAGGTTAAATAAAACATTCTTAAAATTATTGTTTCTAAATATTTCCAAATACGTGATGCAGAAAATTTTACATTTCATCAATAGCTTCAATAGTTAAAAAGCTCTTGTGACAAGGGACCAGTGCCTTAAAAATGTCTGTCACCTGTCAATCTGTAACATCTATTATTCAAGCCATGTAAGTAAAACACCTTATCTGCCAGTGTCACAAAGACTAACTCTGGGCTGCCCAAATGCGCATATTTATACCTCCCAAAGTCATTCATATCCTCCTCATACAGACATGATTATGGACCACTGACATATTCCTTTGAATTACTGCAAATTATGGTAACCCTCAATGGCTTCGAAGTATGGTGATTCATCACAGACTGAATCCTTCTCTCTAGCTCCCTATGCCCATGTGTGATGCTTTTGCTACTGTGAGAGCTACATAAGAATCTCCAGTTTAGAGAAGATTTTGATAAGATTTTACTGAAAAGCTGTGTACATTGAAAATTACATATCACATACACCTTTAAGTTTATAAATATGCATTCATTATATAAATTACGTATGTATCTTTCAGATTTCTCTGCTGGGGGAAAAATCAGAACTATGTTTGGCCCTTTTTTTAAAAAAAGATTTATTTATTTTTATTGGAAAGTCAGATATACAGAGAGGAAGATCTTCTGTCTGCTGATTCACTCCCAAGCAGCCTTAATGGTCGGAGCTGAGCTGAGCTGAGCTGAGCTGATCCAAAGCCAGGAACTTCTTCTCCCATGTGCGTACAGAGTCCCAAAGCTTTGGGTTGTCCTCTACTGCTTTCCCAGACCACAAACAGAGAGCTGGATGGAAAGTGGAACCGCTGAGCTGCTGGGATACGAACTGGCACCAATATGGGATCCCAGCGCATGCCAGGTGAAGACTCTAGTCACTAGGCTAACACGCCAGGGCCATTTGTACCACATTCCATTTCATACTATGATATTTCAGAGAAAATTGTATTTGCAATGCATACTGGAAAAATATATTGGTAAGGTTCTTCAAGGGACAACTATCTCAAAATACTTTCTTGCCTTACACCCAATAAGAAGCTCAGTCTCAAAACTTTCTGACGGGCCCAGCATGATGGCTCAACCAGCTAATCCCTTGCACGCGCCAGGATCCCACATGGGTGTCGGTTTATGTCCAGCAGCTCCCTGCTTGTGGCCTTGGGAAACATTTGAGGATAGCCAAAGCCTTGAGTCCCTGCCCCTACGTAGGAAACCTGGAAGAAGCTCCTGGGCTTCGCATGGGCTCAGCTGTGGTCATTGTTACCATTTGAGGAGTGAACCAGCGGATGGAAGATCTTTCTCATTCTCTCTGTAAATCTGCTTTTACCATAAAAATAAATACGTCTTTTAAAAAAGGTTCCTGGCAAAAGTTCCAAGACTTATTTGATCCATATTTTATTTTTACCTGCCTCATATTTTATTCGTATTTGTGCCTACTGTTGTGAAAATACAACCTCCCAACATTTTTAATGGCAATATCCAAAGAGGGCCACAAGATGGAGATAGTACTCCATTGCTGTTTGTATTTGTATTTACATGTTTTTCTGTGTACTTTTCCCATTCTCTGCACGGTTCCTACTTTCTCCCTCAGTGGCAGGGTCAATTCCTTCCTTCATCTCTACTACACACTGGTTTCTCTGCTTGGACTATCATTAGTATAGACATTGTTACACAATGAATGCTTTCATGATACTGATTTTAAATATTGAAAGCAGAAAGATAATTAGAATATTTTCTTCTAGCTCAGCATTTTCCCAGCTCTCTGAAATTAAGATCATTTTGACTTATCTTTCTCCTGTGGGCAAATGAAAAAATATTGTCACAAAATACTGAGTACTTCAAAAGTCATTTACTACAACATATTCTATGAATGCCAACACTGCTCAAGACTTCTCTAGGACTTTTGGGGAACAGTCCTCAGTCAGTTCACAAGCCCCTCAGGCCATTAATATTCAGCTCTATTTATGTAAACAATTTACCTGGCCTTGCTAGCTTAGCCACTAAATTTAATTCTATTTATTAGCTATTGCCAAAATTCGAAATGAACTTAAAAGTTGATTATTGGCGAAGACATATGAAGAATATTCTGTATCTTCAAAGCAGTTAGTTTCACCAGCATTTTGTAAGGTGACAGCATTGTTGGAACAAGTCTGAAGCCCTCCAGAACAATTCTCAAAACGCATTCTTAAAATTCAGTTACATTTTATACACTTATCCGAAGATACAATGCAATCACACAGTATGTACAAATACTAAAAATATGCACAAGATAGTCATTTGAACTGTACAACTCTAAACTAATACACTTGAAATCTAGTTCCTATCAGACTTTACAAATTAACACAAAACAATAGCTAAATCTAAATACAAATCACAAACTCACTTCCCACATTATACAGGTTAACATCCATAAACCAAATTTCAACAGATAATAGTACTTAAAGGTAGAAGAACCTAAACATGAGTCTTTTTTCTACTAAAAGTATGGTAGTTGAAAATAAATGCAGGAAAAAAATAATCTGCAATTTAAACAATGATTTAAAAATCAAGAGGTTTCTAGACATTGTACAAATTCAGTCACAGGATAGCTTCCTTAACCTAGCTGATTTTAATCTTATAAATAATAATCATAAGAATTAGCTATATACATTTCTATCTTGTCCTGCAGGCACGGATACGGACCCACAGATTTCTCAATAGTCTGCTCAGACCTTCCTAGAAAAGGACAACAAAGCTTCTCTTGTTTCTGGGCTGAACTCATGTTGACTACTTTTCACCCAACATGCCATGGTGGGTCTCATGTAGCTTCTAAAAACTCCTGTGCTAAGAGTTAAATGTATCCCAGGATTTTATTAAACTGAGGAAATTCTCAGTGGCATTTTAATATTGCTTCTTTCCTATTTTAATTCTGCTACCTATATTATCATGCGTCCTTTAGTTCTTCCAAGCCTTTATTTTAATTTTTTTAAAGGCAAACAGAGACACACAAAAAGTTAACTTACATCTAAGGGTTTTCTCCCCAGACGCCCTCAACACCTGGAGGTAGGCCAGACTGAAGGTAGCATCTGGAGCTCAACTCATGTCTCCTACATTTGTGGCAGGGAGTCCAATAATTGAACTGTCACCTGCTGCCTTTGGGTCTGCACTTGCAGGAAATTGAAACAGGGGACCTGGTGTTATGGTGCAGCAAGCCATGGGTAGTTGGCTGGCATCCCGTATCAGAATGAAAACTCAAGTCCCAGCTACTGTTTCTGAACCAGCACTCTGCAAATGCACCTAAGATAGCAGACAATGTCCCAAGCACATTAACAGCCGACCAAGAGAGCTGAATGAAGTCCCTGGCTCTTTTTTAGGAAGTGGATCATGAACTCAAACAGGCACTCAAACATGGAATGCGGGCACTGTAAACAGTGTCTCAATTCCCGTGCTAAATGTCCATCATTTAACTCTTGATCTTATGCCCATCAACTGAAGACTAGATAAAGAAAACATAGCACATATACACTGTGGAATACTACTCAGCTATAAAAAAGAAATCTTACCATTTGCAACACAACAGACTTCACTAAAAACCATTATGCTGAGTGAAATAAGCCATTCCCCAAAAGACAAATAACATGTTTTCCCTGATCTGTAACAACTAATATACGAAGCACAGAAAACAATTTCTGTAAGTGAAATGAGCACACTGTGAATTAACTGCTGAATAGAGCAAGTATGTATACTCATCAGTAATAGTGGGATTTTCATTTTTATTTTAGTTTACTTTTATTATAGGTAACTTTTTCTCTCCTTCTTCTACTTGCTATAAGAGCTCCTTAAATATAGAAAACTTAAGTTTGTTACTGTGAGGTGAATGAATATGTCACTGAAATAATTTAGAAAAAAAGGAAAGGGAAAGAAGTGAGGGAAGGCAGAGGGAGAGAAAAGGAGGGAAGGAAAAGAGGGAGGAGAGGGGGGAATCCCTACGGTTTTAAAGCTATCATGAAAAAGGTGATATTTACTCATTGTACACAAATTTAAAATATGAAAATTAAAAAGAAAATATAAATCTTGATTTTGGACTCTCAGTTTTAATATCACACAATCCACATTCTATTAATTGTTGTGGCACAGAGCTTAATGTCTTCTGGCTCCTTAGTGATAAACAGATATCCATCTAATAGTGAGGCAATGGTGTGTTTTCATTTTATTTCAAGGGCAAGAGACCGGCAAAGCTCTTCTATCTGCTGATTCATTCCCCAAATGACAGAAATGAGCTAGGTTAAAGCCAGGGAGCCTGGAACTCAAGCTGCACCTGCAAGAGGCAGATCCAAGTACTTAGGTTATTACTTGCTATCCACCTCACTGTGCATCAGCAGGAACCTAGACTGGCAGCAGAGCTTCTGGGATTCAAAGCAGGCACTCTAATGAATTACTTCATTTCTGAGTCAAATCCTTGCACAGCATATTTTTGGGTATACATATTTTCTCTGATCAAAAACGTGAACTATAGCACGCCCATGCTTCTTCAGTACGCCAGACTACATACGAGATTCAATTTGCTGAATGATGGCAACTAGAAACAACAGATGAACCTTAAATTAGTATTAAGTAAAATATGGAATAACACACAAATTCTAGATTGTTAGGAAATCCTAGGTGCTCTTAGACAAAAAAAAAATAATAATAAATATAAGTAGCTCAAAAGTGAAACATTTCGCTCTTAAAATGGAATACATTTTTTCAAAACACAGTAATCGTATTTTATATTAGTAAAGACCCATTTTCTTACAATTATGTGATTTGATGAAAATATAAGTTTTTAAAAATATATGACAATAATTTCATTAGAAAATGTCTTTCAGTCCTGCTTTCTTCATGGTAACTCTATGAAACAAAGGTCTTAGTCTTAGGTGGAATTCATCAGTATCCCTGCTGTCTAGATAGACCCAATAACATCCAACTTGGAAAATGATTCCTTGGTTTATGGCAAAAGTAGCTCACTGATAGCAAACCTAACAAAGCTAACAATAGCCTGAATACAGATAAGGCATTTCATCACAGTACTTGAGCTGCGTTACTTTTAACAGCTACACAAATTCAGAGAAAAAGTCAAATATCTACTCTCACCTTAATCCTACCCCATTTCATTCCCATCACTGAGTAAAACACATCGAAATGTACCACATAGTAAAATGCACCACATAAATGGTGATCTAAACACAAGTTGAGACTACATCTCTAAAAATAACTCTGGTAACATAAGTCAATTCCACTTTCCTAGCTCAACTTATGCTGACTACAAAAAAGAAAATAAGTAACATGGCAATCGCTAGAATGCTCTCATAATTAAGCTTTTCAAAACTCAGAAGAAAAGGGATATGTACAACTAAAATATATTTGCTACCATCAGCTCTAGGTTATACATAGCAAAATTCTTGAAACAAAGTTCCTTATTCCCATAAGATATGTTCAGACAATCTCCACTAAATTATGCCACCGCACTACACCAAAGAATGAATACTTTAAAAGTAAACCGATATCTCAATAACCAAATCTAAGGCCAGACATGTACCATTAAAACAGATATATTCCGTTTTCACTTCCTGCCTGAAATGCTACATTAGAAACAGAAATGGTTAGGTTATACCCCATCCAGATTCTGTATCTCTATTCATCCAAACTTATAAAACATTAGATTCCTTATAAAAATGAAGAAAGTTGTTACTACACAACTTATTTACAAGGCAAGAGACCCAACAGAAAGACTGAATGAAATCCAACTGACACCACAGCTAAGCGCTAGCACCACAAGAAACTTCACAGGTGCAGAGGAGCACAGAACAGACCCACCAGACCATCACGCTACTTTCTGTGAAGGCTGTGCTGGGAGAGTGCACTGTTTGTGACTTCTCAGGAAGATCGACACAATATATGCTACATTGATCACTGATAAAGCTACTGGCTGATACAGAGTAAGTTGGCCCAGAGGTGTGGCCTAGTGGCTAAAGTCCTCACCCTGAACGCACCGGGATCCCATATGGGCGCTGGTTCTAATCCCGGCAGCTCCACTTTCCATCCAGCTCCCTGCTTGTGGCCTGGGAAAGCAATTGGGGATGGCCTAAAGCCTTGGGCCCACGTGGGAGACCTTGAGCTGGCTCCTGGCTCCAGATAGGCATAGCACCGGCTGTTGCGATCACTTAGGGAGTGAATCATCGGACAGAAGATCTTCCTCTCTGTATATCTCTGACTTTGTAATAAAAATAAATCTTTAAAAAATAAATACAGAGTAAGTGGAGGGCAAAATGGGCTTTCCAGCAATTCTTACTCTCATTTCTACAAGATTGTGAGATACTTTCAGGTTATGTCTGGTTGGAATAATTGCCATCCTGGACAAAAAAATAGCCTGATTTGCATTGTTCATAGTGTTCTTATTGACCAGTTCTTCCTAGTCAAGTAAACAGACCAAAGAATCACTTTCCAATGAGGTAACTCAAACTTACCTGGAAAGATGTAAAACATTAGAAAGCAATAGTTTTTTAATTTTTTATTTATTAGAAAGGCAGAATTATAGAGAAGAGAGAGAGAGAGAAAGAGAGAGAGAGAGAGAGAGAGAGAAGGGAGGAGGGGGGAGCACAAGAGGGGAGAGGGGAAGGGTAATACCACTCCCTAAACGGTCACTATGGTTGGCCAGGGCTGTGCCAGGCTTAAGCCAGGAACCCAGAGCTTCTCCAGCCTCTCCCACATGGGTGCAGGAGCACAGGCACTTGAGCCATCCTCTGCTGCCTTCCCAGGTGCATCAGCAGGGAGCACCTGGGGCTGGAACCCAAATGGGATGCTTGTGCTGCAGGCAACAGTGTTACCTGTCACCACCAACACTACGGGCCCCAATCAACAGCTTCTTTAGGACAGTATTCCCACAGGATAGGACTGACCCTCCCCTAAACATGCTGCTCTTCTGTACATTCACATACCCTGTACACATTTCAAAAATACAGACTGAGTGCTTAAACCGTTTAACTCTGATATAAAAAAAATCAAAGTTCAAATATTTTACAAGCATATGTGACTTAACAGTTTCCCTTCTGTTAACTAAATTTTAATGTTCATTTGAATTTTGGTTTGGAGTTATTAAAAATATGAGAAAGAATGAAACACATTTTGTAGCTGTATTGATAGGAGTCTTTAATGACTACTAATTACGACCATGAAGATGCTCTAATTCCACCAAAAACAAAGAATCTATTCCATTATGATTTCAATTGTTTAAGAAATATTTCTTGTTGACTATTGCACAAAGTACTACATAAATACAATGATCCCAAAAGATTATTTAAAGAGAACTGCCCTGATCACACAAGAAATATAAGTATGCAAGGTGCAGAAGCTGTGAGATAAAACTTAAATATTGTGTGGATATCTAGACTTTTTAAAAAAGATTTATTTGAAAATCAGAGTTACAGACAGATCTTCCATTCCGTGGTTCTATTTCCCCAGATGGCTGCAACACCTGGGGCAGGACCAGGCGGAAGCAGTTGGGCCATCTTCCACTGCTTTCTCCAGGCCATTAGCAGAGATGGGAAGCGGCTTGGACACAAACCAGCACTCACACTGATGCCAACATCACAGCTAGTGGCTTTACCCACTATGTCACACTGCTGACCCCAAGACCAAAAATTTAAATTACTAATAAAATATCTTTTTGGTTGCTCATCTATATTTCCCCCTTACACGTCTGCAATCTCTGAAAAGGTGGAATATCCAACTGGAATGCCCTGGTAACAAAGTCATTCTAAAAACAGGCTGAACCTCTAACATGATCCATATTCACCTCTTTCCCAAAGACTTCTGAAACTTTCTGAGACTTCTAGAGCCAACTCGAAATCTGTAAATATATGAAAAGAAATCCCTTTCCTGTAGAAGGAATGCAGAAGATTATAAATATAATCTGTTGGATTAAAATGCTATTTAACTACTGTTTTGGGAAATTACAGCTTAGCTTTAGTTACATTTTATTCAGCAAATATTTAAGTGGCTACTATGTGCCTGTTAAGTAAATAAAGACGTTAGATAACACATGTCCTAAAAAAGGATGCAACTCTCCTAAGGTCATAAAACCAGGAGATGGCCTGTCTACATTCTAAAGGTCACCAGTTCTTCCAACAGTAAAGCTTGGGGATTTTAGACCTGGTGGATTAGGGGATATCAAAATGCAATACATAGCCACTGTTGACAATTTCTCCTATTAATTGTCTCCAGTTTTTTTTTTTTTCCTCTCTTGAACTCAATCTAATCAGATAGTGAAGCAGCTCTCGATCAAGTTCCTAATGACTTCCACACTACATCCCACACTGAATCAACTCACCATGCTCATCTTGTTTAAGTTATAATCACCATGTAGTCCAGCGGATCACTTTTTCCTCTGAGATACTGTCTGCACTTAACCTGAAAGGCAGGATCTTTTCTTAGCTTCTGTCCCAGCTCATTCATTTTTCTTCTCCTCTGCTGGTTCCTTTCCATCTTCCTCACCACAGGCCTTTAGCTCCCAGACCTCTTCGCATCCACACCCTTGGTGAACTCAGGTGGTTTTGTGGCTTCAAATTACCTTTTGATTAACAGGAACCACAAACTCCTATAGTTCAAACATTTTTCCTTATAAATCCAGACCTGTATAACAGGAATATTTAACAAATATCCCAAATTTACTATGACCAAAATCCAAACTCCTGATTTCTAACAAATCAAGCTCTTATACCAGGCTTAACCATCTAAGTAAATGTCAACTGTCCTTCCAGTTATCAACATTGATGTGTTTAGATTTATCTTCAACTCCTCTTTCTCTTTCCTGCCCCACATTCAAGCCATCAATGGAATGCTGCTAGCTCTGTGTTTAAATTAAATACTGAGCTTGGCCACTTGGCCCCACTCCACAGCTACCACCCGTTCTGCCTTCGATACCACAATTTTCCCTTGAAGTAACTAATGCCTTACAGACTATCCTCAACAACAGAGACCATTTAGAAGTGTAGAAGAAATCATGGATCTCTTCTGGTCAATCTTCCCCCTCGCTGGATTCCAATTAGCTTATAAATAAAAGCCCAAGTTCTAATTATGGCCTCCACAATCTTCCCCGGACACTATGACCATCTCAGCTCCTGTTGCCACACTTCTCCTGTCCTCCACCCCGTCCCAACCACACTGGCTGCCTCCTTGTCCCTCCAACACTAGGCCAGTTCCTGCTTCAAGGCCTTCACACTTCCTGTACTTCCACATAAGCTTTTCCATTGAGCTATAGTTTTAATGCATCCCTCTAAAACTCTATGCATCAAAACTGAATTCCCAGAATAGTACCAGGCAGGGTCTTTGGGAGTTGGTTAGGTCATGCAGGCAGAATTCTTATGACTGGGATTAGTACTTTTGGAAGCCCTAGAGAAAGCCGTAGCTGTAGCACCAAGTAAGGATGCAAAAAAGTGCCGTCCACAAGCCAGAAAGCCCTCAACGACAGGATCTGCTGGTGGCCTGGCCTTAGAACTCCCAGCCTTCATCACCGAGAAATAAGTTCCTGTTGATGAAACACTACTCAGCCTATGGTACTATAGCAGCCAAATACAGGCTGCAACAATATCCACAAGGCTTATTCTGTGACTTCCTTCCTGCAAATAAATCGTGAAGTGTGAAAGGCTCTGACCATCGAGTAGTTACAAGTACTTGATTACTTACTACCCGTTTCTTCTTATTAACTTTTAATTTTTATGAGGTTAGGACATTTATATTTATATAAAAGTCATCTCCTATTGCTGAAAATCTAGCTGAAAATAAACCTCTGTTAAATGAACCACAAAACTGACAGTACACGTAACCACAACGGCACTGTGAGTAACTGACCTGCTTGGTCTCTGGCTAGTTGTCAAAACATTTAAGCTTAACAAGCTACCTTTGTTTCTACCGAATTTCTAGTTCCCCCAAAATCTTCCAATAAAGTTAAGACTCAAACTGAAGAACTTAATCCAATAAACTCCTCTGATAGAATAAAATTAGCTTAGGATAAAATTCTGGTTTCTTTTCAATTTCAATATAGCTGGACAGAAAAACACAGATTAAGATAATTTTCTGGATCCTTCTTTTCACATTGTACTTCGACAAAGAATTTTCTTGATTATCTATGCTTATTTTCCCATCTTTGCCGATCTAATTCAAATCTCTGGTTGTTCACATTGCCTATTTAACTCTACAAATTAAGTTGCATGAAATTATACATGAAAATCATGAGGACTCACATGCAAAGTTAGAGCACATAATCAAAATTTTATACCATAACTACTAAGCTTCTGTATTCTCTTAAAGGGACTTAATTTCCCACGAATAACTGGAAAGCATCTTGAAGATCACTGAACAGGTTGTTTTTTAAACCTACACAATTTAATCAATTATCATATGTTCTGAACAATTATTCCCAATAAGAGCCTCCTGAACAATTTTCATTTACAGTTTCATAACTTACACATATTGCATCCTCATTTACCATAAAAACGAGGTATATTTTCTATTTATGAGCAGGAAGTGGCAAAGGGTGACAGATCGTAAATGCAGTTTCTTTAAACTTGCCCATAAAATGTAAAGTGTGAAATGCTTATACTTCGTAAGTTACAAAAAGTGGAAACTTAAGTTCATGTTACCATGACATTATATTCAATAATGAAATAAAAGTGTAATGTTTGAAAATTAAATTTCCATTTAGTTCAGCAGTTCAATAGTTCACTCAGATTTGTGATAATCTATAGTAGAGGAAATGTGCATTTCACATGTAATTGCTAGGATATCCACTGAATGACAACTATTGGAACAAATCAACTCTGTTTTTACCCCCATAACTATTCAAAGCATTATATGTAAGACTCGATCAAATGGTGTGAAATGCTAAGTCTATAGCCCCATAATCCTGAAATGAGCCAAATGTCATGTCACTGGCACGAAGCTTCAGACTGAGACTGCATATCTGCCCTCACTCAGACACCCTCCATGGTAGAAATACAAGGCAATTAATGGATTTTAAAAGTTTAAGCCTCACTGCCCGCCCCACGCGCGCTCCTCTCCTCCCCGCCGCCCCCCCCACCCCCCCAAAAAGAGGAGGCAGATATTTGGCCTAGTGGTAATGAGCCTGGTTAGGACACTGGCATCCCATATCCACACGCCTGGGCTAGACAGCTTGCTCCGCTTCAACTTCCAGCTTCCCGCTCAACTCATGCTAGGAGGCAGCAGGTGGCTCAAGTAACAGTGGCCTCGCACAGGTGGAACCCCTAGGCAGCACTGAACCCACGCCTGGCCGCCTCAACGCAGGGGCAGTGAATCAGAGGAGGAAAACTATTACACGTGGGGTAAGCAAGGTTAGTCTCTCCCTCTAGTGCAAAGAGTTCCAGGACCAATGTGGTAGAAGCTCCAAATTCCTACAGGTTTTCATAGTACTTTCTAGGGGTAAGACAGAGGCAGACAAGATAGATCTCTCAACTTAGCAAATGCCCATAGCTGAACCCAGTCTCCCCGGTAGGTGGCAGGGACCAGAGGACTCAGGCCACCGGCTGCCGACTCCCAGGTGTGTCAGCAGGCAGCTGGAATCCGGAGCGGGGTCGGGACTGAAACCCCATCTCCCCCATCTCTCTGCCTGTCTGCAGGCAGACAGGCTTCCTACGTGGCGGCGTGTCCACCACCCCACCAAACACCAAGCGCGCATTCCGGATCTTTTAGCCGAGACTCCTAGCCAACGGCTAGAGTATTACAAAATACAGTGCCAGAAGAACTTCTGAAACCGAGAAAGAACACTGGCCAAAAGGCAGAGGAAAGTATCGCCGCCCTAGGAGCGGGTGGCACCGGGCCGCCTGTCACCGACACCGGAACTTGAGGAGTTGGTGCAGAGGTAAGGAAGTGGGGAAGGCGGGCCAGCACTTCGGAGGCCAGGGCTGCCAGGACAGCCCGGGGCGCCCCGCTCGCTCCTCCCACCCTACGCCGCCTTGCTTACCTGCTGCACCCCGAGGAACTGGTAGAAGTTGAGCTGCACCTCCTCCACCAGATCGAACAACTCCAGGTCTCCACTCTCCCAGCCGCGTGCCGGCCCGGCGACCAGCAGCAGCAGCAGCAGCAGGAGCCGCCGCCGCGGGAATGGCAGGAGCCGGAGCGGCGCCCGGCGGGGGCAGCCAGCCGTCATAGCGCAGGACTCGGAAAGGTCACTCGCCAGGCAGTAGGATTTCGGCCCAGACCCGGGGACGTGGCGGGGAACCACGGGCAGGGAGGACCAGCCCCTGTCACTGCGCGGGCGGCCGCCCCGGAGCGGCCCAGCAGGCTGCCGTCCCCAGAGGGAGTGCGCGGGGCGCGGGAGTCGCAGCCGGGGCTGCCTGGCCCCGACCCTCACTCCAGGCCTACGAACAGCTGGAGGGCCAGCGCCGGGCGCCCAGGCTACCGAGGGGGAGAGGCTTCCCTGCGCCTCGGCCTATCCCGGGCCTCGCTTCCGGTGACATCACGTCTCCTAGCAACCGCGGCCAGGGGCGGGGCCGGAAGTAAGGACGGGGCGTCGGAGGATTGTATTGGGCCCGTGGTGCGCGTGCGTTAGCATGGCTCACCAGGCGTGGGCGCTTAGGGCCTAACACACCTGAAACATCCCACGTGTAGATTTCTGCCCCAGAGCCCTGTGGTCTTGCCTGCCCTCGTGTCATGAACACCAGAACCGTATTGAAAGCCTGGTTTTGCTCATTGCAGCTTGGGCTCCATAGCTCTCATTATCAGCCAAGATAGAAGCAGCTGAACCAGAGACAGCAAGTAAAACCTAAGTTTTTCAGAAAGCAGAAAAGGAATGCAAAACAAGACCAAAAAAGTGTGCGTATACTTCCCGTTGTGAATTAACACTTATTTACAGGCATCGGGGAAGGCTCTGGCTGCCACAACCGGTATCAGGGAGCCTGGGTTCCAGCCTCAGTTCCTCTGTTTGAGATCTAGCTTCCTGGATGCATACCTGGGGAGGCAAAAGATGATGGCTCAAGTACTTTTTAGCCCCTGCCACAACCCTGAGAGGCCTAGGTTGGCTGCCCACCTCAAGGCCTTGGCCCAACTCTGCCCTGACATTTGGGAAGTGAACTAACACATAAAAAGACCCTCTCTCTGCCTTTAAGATAAAATGAAAGGAAGAAAAACTTTACAGGCATACTATAAAATGGGCTACTGGGTGGAATTAACAATGGTGACATAATCTTAAAGTGTAATTTAACCACCTGAGCCAACTCACCCTCAATTGGTATCCTTTTCCAATTGAGTTCTATTCAAAGAGACACACATGTTGTTTAGTGACTCAGGGCTTGCAAAGCATCCCAGGTGAGCATAATAGAAGTCTGGCTTGCTCCACTTCCCAGGCAGCTCCTACTAAGGTACTCAGGAGAGCAGGGAGAGATGGGCCGAGCCTTTGGGGCCCTAGGAGAACCCTAGATGGAATTCCACGCTTCTAGATTCTCTTGGCCCCAACCCAACCATTGAGGCCGTCTGCAGAATGAAGCAGTACATAGAAATGTTCATTTTCTTTCTCTCTCTCTCACTGCCCTCTCCTCCTCCCCCTTCCTCTCCACCCTCTTTCTTTGTCTCTCCTCTGTAACTCTGCCTTTCAAATAAAAGCAAATCCTTAAAAACTAAAAAAAAAAAAACAAAAAAAAACTAAAATCTCCTGTTTCTGTGGCAGTGATGTCTGCCGTTTGAGTTTCACATTGATCCTTACTAATCTCTTTAAAATTTTATTCTCACTACTATTGTCTTGTGTGAAATTTATTTTTGTTGATGTGTTTTTACACTTTTCCTCCCTGATTCCCATACTCAGTGGATGACGTTGAAAATGAACAGAAAATATGTACGTAAGTCAAAATGCCATCTTAGTTTTGAACATTTCGCCTCATGCTTTTCTCATCCTGAATCTGGCCTGTGTAATGAAGATGAATAAGACAATGACAGCACTACTTATACAGAAAATAAGAATATTTATGTTTGATAAAGTTAGAAAACCATTCTTGGAGGAAAATCTGAGGATATACCATTTTGAAAATATTTTTAAAGTCATAAGTGAATGCAATTGTGTGTTGCCTGAAATTAATATATAAATGTAATTAGTGACATGTTAAACTTTTATGAAGTTAACCCTTCAAATAGGCCAGAACAGTGGTGTCTGGGTCTGCTCTGGCTCCTACAACAAAATACCCTAGACTCAGTGAACTTAAACCACAGACATGTATTTCTCATGTTCTGAGCTGCATCAGGATGTCAGCATGATAGAGTTCTTGTAAGGGTCTTCTGCCTGGCTTGTAGGTGGCCCCTGTCTTAAAATAGCCTCTCATGCCCAAGGGAGAGGAAGAGAGATGATACAGGAAAAAGAGGGAGAGAGACAGGAAGTCTATTAGACTAATAAATATACCAAACCCATCTATTTATTAAGAGCTGTACCTTCTAAGCTCACCTAGACCACCCAAAGTCCCCACCTACAAATTTGCATAGAGATTTTAGAAGGACACAGATATAAGGTCCATTGTGTTGTTTTTTTTTTTTTCCTGGCATCCCTAGTCCAGAGCATTACGCATAGCAGGTGACAACATTCAATTAGCTGAATCTGATGAATGCCTCATCACTATTGCCCCACTCTGGACTACAGTTTTATTTTTTGATATATCAGATTTTTTTTTACATGAAAGACAGCACGGCCAAGTCCCTAAATCAGATTAATATTCATTTGGTGGGTAAAACATCAAAATAATATGAAAGCAGTAAGAATTACTTAGTAATTCAACATATATCTTTAATGTAGTGCCATTTCACCACAAATATAGGGTTTCTACTCTGATCTTTTGGTAGAGAGTCCAGTTTCCCTCATAAGCTCTATCCTTACATAGTCTAAGAATCCTAGGGACTTGCTCCATCTGAGGAAAGCCCATTCTCTGTAAAAGTCCAAGCTAAAAGCAGCTGGCATGTCTTCAGTACATTACTTCTTGTTGGCATAAAGTATTGCTTGGGAAGATTCCTCCTGCCCAGTCCAGTCACACTTGGCCATAGGGAGATGCTGGTCTTGCTGGTCCAAATCCTTGTAAAATCCATAGTGGTATCTGTATTCAGACTTCTAATTTGATGTCTTCACGAGTTTGGCCATTGTCTCCCAACAGATGATGCAACTGAATGTATCTTTTGCTGCCATCCAGACTTAGAGAGTTGATATGCATCAACTGCTTACTTCCCTGTTTACATTTTCTGATTCTGAATGTGAGCTGATAGAAGTGTGTCCTTGGTGGAGAGACTTCACACAGAAAAAGATGAACCAACAAAATGTGTATGGAAATAAACAGAGACTCAAACACAGCCAACTTTCCCACAAGACATTTGCTGAGTTTGGGAATTATACAAGAAACTGAGAGGCTGGGCCTGATAGGCAAAGTAAATGCATCTCCGATTCTACCAAAAATATACAAAATCCAGTGTACCTAGAAAAGACATTCCTACTCCTATCGTTTCCAATATTTCTGGGTTTGGGTGAGTAGGAAGCTAACAATGTAAGTTAAACAAAATATAAGGGCAAAGGAAACAAGATCTCTGCAGGCTCTCCAGCATGCCCTGTGGAACCCCGTGAGAAGAGAAGCCAGAAGCAGACTGAGTTTCCCCAAACCTTTCACCAGTCCTCATCCAGCTCATCTCTAATTAGGATGAGATAATCAGATCTCACTCGCATTTTTCCATCTAGATGGTCTTTAGGTTTTAAATATAAAAATATGTCCCAGGGTGAAGCTATTTCTGAGACGTGAGAAGAGCAGGGAGTTTGACTGGTATTCAAGAGAAAAAAGTAGGTAACAATATTGGAGTTCAGATAAGAAGTTGACCATCATAAAATAAAGCAACAAAAGAAAAAATAGACTAAATGAATTGAAATATACAAAATTTTAACAATTGAAATCCATAAAAAATTAATGGAAAACCTTGAATTGGAAAATATAATGTTTAAAATAAAGAGCTTGGTGAATGGATTTAACAGCAGACTAAGGTACAGCGAGAACCGAGGTATAGGGCCCAACATGGTAGCCTAGCAACTAAAGGCCTTGCTTTGCACACGCCAGGATCCCATAGGAGTGCTAGTTCAAATCTTGGCCACTCTGCTTCCCATCCAGCTCCCTGCTTGTGGCCTGGGAAAGTAGTTGAAGATGGCTCAAAGCCTTGGGACCCTGCACGTGCGTGGGAGACCCAGAAGAGGCTCTGGGTTCCTGGCTTCTGGCTTTGGATTGGCTCAGCTCTGGTTGTTGCAGCCACTTAGGGAGTAAATCAGCAGACGCTGATCATTCATCCCTATGTTTCTCCTCCTCTCTGTATATCTGACTTTCCAATAAAAACAAATGGCTCTTAAACAAAACAAAGCAAAACAAAAGAGAAGATTAGTGATTTTGAGGACAGGTCAAGAAAAAATATTTGGAACAGAAAAACTTGCAAAAAGCACAATATAGGTTAAGTACTTAAGGGTAGGAGTGGTGTACGTTAGGTTTTGACTGCTAATGGATATGGGATTTTTAAATGAGTTATAAAAATTTCTAAAATTGTAGTAATGGTTGTATAAACCTGTGGATACTAAAAGCATTGACTGGTACATTTTAAATGAAGCATTGTGTGGTATGTCAATTATATGTCAGTAGGGCTGTTTTAAAAAAAAAGGAAGGAAAAACATCCCAATAAATGTAATAAACTCAGCAAGGCAAGGATTTAACAACTGAGCCAACACACCAGGCCCTTATCATTTACTTTTATATGAGATTAAATCTGACTATGTGAAACAGTGCAATATAGTACTCAACAAAACTAAAATCTGAACTTCTCTGAAAACCACCATTAGTGGTATATTCATCTCATGGTTTAGGAAAATCTGGGTCTCATTAAATCTTGAAATGTTCTCATTAGCCCTGATATGGATGTTTTTCAAATATAAGGACTGGAAGCTCTGAGATGTCATTGTTCCCTAATAGAACATTATCCTCACTCAGTAATCTATTTATCCAAACAGTGTCCACAAACGTAGATTGACTCAACAAAGGTTAGAAAAATACCGTTTTGGAGAAGTACTTTCCTGGGAAATAATTCCTTTTATATTGCATTTTGACTTTTAATCGTTTTTAAGGTCCTCACAAATAAATACAGATGTTCTTCATGTTATAAATAACAAATTTCTAACATATTGATTTTTACTTCTCTGAATGATATCCTATATATTCAAATAACCTGATAATAAAATAGAGTGCAGGTTCCAGAACCAATTAAATGAAATTTCAGCCCTAGCTCTGTACCACTTAGTAGCTTGGTGACTGTGTTTCAGTTCACTCATCTCTAAAATTGGAATAAGATGACCATCAAAATCATAAGGTTACTGTGG